TGTTAATACAATTTGTTATCTTTTTAACAAGTCTCCATCAATAGCTATCGAGTGTAAGACTCCTGAAAAGGTTTGGTTTGGGTCTTTTGCAAGTTACACTAATTTAAAAGTGTTTGGTTGTCTCATTTATGCTTATGTGAATTATGGTAAACTTGAGCAGACGGAAAAAATGCATATTTCTGGGGTATGCAAATAGGGTGAAAGGTTATCGACTGTGGTGTGCTGGCATGGAGACACCTAAATATATTGTTAGTAGGGATGTGACCTTTAATGAGTCTACTATGCTTAAACACAAGAAGGAAGAGTCTCTTGATACTGGAAATCAAAATGACTTGAAAGAAGATTTTCAAGATAATGTCCTAATAAAGCAAAATGTAGAAGACGAACAAGACTTTGATGTATTTTTGCAGCAACAAGGGTACTTGTTTGCTAAGGACAGAGAAATAAGGCAGACTAAGGTGCCTAAAAGATATGGGTACGAGGATCTTGTAGTCTATGCACTTAGTGTAGCAGAAAGGGTTGAGGCTCGTGAGTCAATCAATTATCATGAAGCCATCACTAGTGAAAATTTAGCACAAAAGGCTATAGCCATGAGTAGGGGTGACAATCGTGTTGTGTCATGTCGTGTTCGGGTCGTGTCATGTCGGGTTCGGGTTGAAAACACATCAACCCAAACACGACATGCGAGCTAAACAGGTTAGGTCATTTAGACACGAACACGACTTGACTCGAAACACGATTAACCTGACACAACCTGTGACCTGAGATTTACACAGGTTGTGTTCGGGTAAACATGACCCAACCTGCCTAACACGACCCAACCCGACATGACATAACAAAAAAAGGAAAAATTTAGATATATTACAAATATCCCAAATACAAGTCTACATAAAACAAAGGCTAAAACATCACAATTATCCCAAAAACAAATACAAATCTCCATAATATTACAAATATTCAAAAAGCTTTAGTAAAATCTTCAAGCAATATTACAAGCATCTTTCAAATTCTGTTTACTAAAACCTTTTTGTCTTTGTATAATTGTAAGGATTCCATTTCTTAACTTTTTGAAGATCATTATAATTCAAAGCCAGCTATCAAAAAACCTTTTTTTTAATCAAGATTGAAGAACTTTCTTGCCATCCTCTCTGTGGTGCCTCAACTTCATTGGGTTGCTTGATGATATTTTAGAGGCTGACTCGCTTCTGATGGGTTGAGCTATGCATCAAATGGACCATTGTCCCTTAAACTTTACAAGTTTGAGAGGTCTCTACACCATTTCAAGAATTGTAGAATTTTCCTGTTGGATGGGTTAATAGAAAACATCTCGCATTTTTTATACTAATTAAATTCAAAAGGCAATCCAAAGGCATCTCTTCACAAATTAATTTTTTTGGGAAAGTCCTCATCTCTTCACAAATTATTTTTTTTTTCCTTTTTGCAGGCAATCCAAAAGGCATTTTATTTTCTAGAATTTTGATATACACAAATATCTAGTTGAGAAGTAGCTTAAAAAAGGAAAATCTTTGACATCAGGTAAAGGGGGATCATGCCATTATTTGATTACTTCATATTTTTTATGCATTTAAGGTTCAAAATCTTCAGATGATCATATGACATAATAGCCTAAATAAATGTAAACACTACCCACAAAAAAACCCATTCTTCTCAGCCACCAATTTTTCCCCAATTCTTCGCACAAAAAACCCATTCTTCGCAGAGAAAGACGGAGAAAGAGCGAGAGAAAGAGTGAGAGAGAGAGAGCTTACTTGGTACATGACCTACTAGTCGCCTACGTCGACGCCAAGCTGAGACCGAGGCAAGGAGGGAGGGAGGGAGGGAGGGAGGGAGGAAGGGAGACGGGATGGACTGGACAGAGGGAAGGAGGGACTAGGGAGGCGGGTTTCCTGACTGCTGCTGGATAAAGGAAAATAGGAAATGAAGTTAGGGTTTGGGAAAAAGTAATTAAATTCTTTATATATAGGTGGGTAATTTCGGGTCAAAATAGGTCAGTCGGGTTCGTGTCAACCCGATTAAATACACGGGTCAATTTGGGTAAATTCGGGTTAAGCGGGTTGAACCCGAACACGACCCATTAACATTCCGTGTTGACAGGTCGTGTCATATACGGGTTCGGTCAAAAATTTAGTCAACCCAAATCCATTTATTTGTGTCGTGTTCGTATTGGGTTATCGTGTCGTGTCAAAAATTGCCACCCCTAGCCATGAGTAAAGGGATTGAGTCTCTTCATAAGAATTATACATGGGAGCTGGTGAAATCGCCGAAGGGCCAAAAGATTGTTGGATGCAAATGAGTTTTCAAAAGGAGGGAAAGAACTCTTGGCTGAACATGAATTTTTTGAGACTTTTTGCAATGGTCTTCAACCTAGTTTCAAGCTTATGTCAAGGAATACAATTAGAATTGATATTGTAAAGGTGTATCAATGAGAGAAAGATAAATTGTATAAATACTTGAATCGACTTCCGAGTAGGATTGCCCTAACCATTGATTTATGGATTGCAGGCCACCAAAACCTTGGCTATATTTGCTTAACAACACATTTTATTGATGATGATTAGGAATCGAAAAAAAAAATTCTGAATGAAAAGTATATAAACTGCCCCCATGATGCAGATACACTGTTGAAATATATCACATATATGATTTTAGAGTGGAATATTGATTGGAATTTATTTGCAATGGTAGTGGATAACACCACAACCAATGATGCTATTATAAGAGGCATGAAGACTTGGCTTTGTGATAAGGCACTTTTGCCTATAGGGTGGGATTTATTCCATGTGAGTTGTAGTGCGCGTATTCTTAATCTAATAGTGCAAGATGGGTTGTTAGAGACTGGAAACCTTATTTACAAGGTTAGAGAGAGAGTCTGAAATATGTGATCATAACTCCTTATTCGGAAAAAAAGTTTGATAATGCTATAAGTCAAGTTAAATTGAAAGGAAGGAAAAAAACCTACTTTGGATTGTCCCACTAGGTGGAATTCCACTTTTGATATGCTCGAGAGTGCACTGGGGGATGAGAGATGCATTTTTCAGTTTAACACAAATAGATAGGAATTACATGCACAATCCATTAGATGAGGAGTGGGAAGTTGCAAAAATATTGTATGGTTGTTTGAGGATTTTTTATGAAGTTTAAAAACATTATTCTAGCACAAAATTTCCAACTTCAAACGTATTTTTCCCAGATATTTGTGACATATAACTCAATTTGAACAGATGGAAAAAAGTCAATATCCATTTCTTTGTAGTATGGCATGCCCGATGAAATCCAAGTTTGCTAAATATTGGGAAAGAATGTTGGTTGGTTTTAGCTATTGTTGTTGTTCTTGATCCAATATTTAAGTTAGATTTAGTGGAGTATTACTATGCCAAAATTTATGGTAAGGAAGCTAAAAAATTTGTTGAAAGAGTTCGCAATGCACTTCGGGATCTTTTTAGTGAATATGGGAATTAATCATCTCAAACAATGCTCTTATATACCAAAAATCAGGATTAGAGCCGTATTTGGAGGAGCCAATGTTTCATAGAATTGAGAATTTTAACATTCTACGTTGGTGGAAGGTTAATAGTGTTAAACTTCATACTCAAGCAAATAGCTCATGATGTCTTAGCTGTTCTAGCTACTACAGTTGCATCATAGGCAGCTTTTAGTGTTGGTGGTCGGGTGATTAATGAGACATGTGACTCTTTCCTTCTAGAGATAGTGGAGGCTTTAGTGACTTCTAATGATTGGATTGAATCACGAAAAAAGAGAAGTATTTATTTTTTTTGTACTTAAATTACACTTTCATATCTATTTAATTATTGAGGTTTCATGTTTTTTCTATTGTCTGATCAAGATTTTACACATTCTAAAAGTGAGGAGATCAAGAAATGAAGTCTCAAATTTTATTTTTGTCACTATCCACAGATGAGAAGATTGAAGAAATGGGGTGTGCATGTTTTTTGGGAGTTAGTAGAATTGTTTTTGTTTCCTTTTCATGCAACTCACTGATATTTTTGTTGAATGTGAGCACTTTGTCCATGTGCCCACTTTTGATTTTTGAGCTATTGTGGACAATTGGTGAAATTATACACTTGTACTATTACTTGACGTAAACTTGCTGTTTTTGAATGTTATCTTGTTGTTCAGGTGCTCATTTTTTGGCTTTTGATATGTTGTATGTTGATAATCACGAGAAATACTAAGTTGACTTGTTCATGATCATGACAAATACCTACCAAGTATTTACTTGATACATTTGATTTAGTGTAGAAATCTTAGATGTGCATATTTTATCCTCAGTCCATGTAGGTGGATTAAAGTGCACTGGTTTCACTTAATAGTGCTAATTATCTGATCGAATTAGATTATTGGACTGGATCTTCGAATGCTAATGAATTCAGATATGGATTAATTTTTTACGATTTGTTGGATAAACGGATTCGATTGAATCGAATAAATTTAATCGGATTCAAATTGGGATGTAACATAATCCAATCCACATCCGATTTATTTACGGGCCTAGCAAAGAGGAGGGGCATGGGGTTGTTGGGGGGGGGAGAGGGCGTAAGGGGTTAGGGTGGTGAGGTGGGGTGACTATGAAGGTTTATGATTATCACATTAATAAGACAATATTTTCATTTGTAAATGAGTACTAGGATTAAAATGACCATTTTTGTGGAAAAAAATATATGATATCAAACGATAGGTAAACTTAAAGGAAAGGATTGAAAGGATTATAGTATGATCTTAGAAACTTTAAGGGTATCTCTTAAACTTGCTGAAAACCATGGGGTGCCAGTATAATTTGCCCAAACAAAGAGGAGTAAATAGCAGACCCAGTGACCCACAAAAAACCTTAGTTAATGTTAACCCCACTCTCGCTTTCAATCGACCCCACAGAACCTCAGTCAACATTTACTCCTATATTGGGCCCCAAAGGTGAAAGGGCCAGTGATTCAAACTGAAACAAATTGGAGAAATTGAAACGCAGAGGATTCGGACCCGTTGACGTTATCCCTAGTAAGGCGTAGTTGTAAATTAGATTAAACAACCTCGGGCAGCAGCGAAACGCCGGCGACGACGTTCCATTCTTACGCCGCCGGTATCTCTGGAGAGATGCTGACAGATTGCTCCACGTCCGCTACCTTCACCACCGCCCCCCTCCGCCGCGTTCTCATTTCCTTGCTCTTCCTCACCGCCGTGTCTCTGTCATCTTTTATTGTTTTCAGAGCCTCCGACTCGATCGGTTTTCGTCTTCCCAACTTATTTTACCCTTCGTCTAAGCTCCATTACGTCTTCCCCTCTGTGGCTGATGATTCCCCACCGGTGAGTTTGAATTCGATTTCCTGTCGTTCTATCATTTCTGTGGAAATCCAGTAGCCTATTTTACTGTGTATTCGTTTTGTATTACTTCCGTTTTTCTGCAATATTTCTATTTATTTCTTTGAGTGCATATATAGCATGTAGAGAGAGAATTGTATATACACACATCCATTTCAGTAACTCTTAGGCTGATTTTTCTCAATTCTACCACCTCTTTCTCTCTCTCTAGAGCACTAGCACTCGGTTCGTTGGACATGCCACCACTTTTGTTAAAATCCGATATTTTTATAGCTATGCTCATAATTAAAAAATAATATTTTAATTTTGGACACATGTGAAATGACAAATTTTTAGGTTATGTCTACGATTACAAAATAAACATGTGCCATACATGATTAGCAAAACATAAGAATCTAACGTATGACTATCTTATCTTAAGAAAAAAAAAATATTTGGATAGTCAAAATGACATTAAAGTTTCTCTTGAAATATACTAGTAAACAAAAAATGATGCATAATCCATTTACAAAAGAATAAAACTTGAGAAAATTTAATGAATTATCATAAATATTTACGTTTGCAACATTTTAGTCATAATAAAATCATTGACTATTATGATCCATTACTCTAATTCAATGTTTATATAATGATAATTATGTGGCTATTATGATCCATTACTCTAATTCAATGTTTATATAATGATAATTATGTGGTTGAATTTATACAACATAGTTTTATTTGTCACGTGTCCCAGCTCCTTGCTTGTCCATGTACTACTTTTTCATAGTTTACCATGTTGATGTGTCCATCGCGTTGATGGGTCCATGTCTTATCGCACTTTTATCCCGTGTCCATGTCCCTATCCATGCTTCATAGGGTTTGTTAAATAGAAGGCTAGTATTGCTGAGGTAATATGATGCTTTCGCAAATTTCATCAATATGGAAATGTTCATGGTGTACATTGCTTTGGGAAACGTGGAAGAATGGCTGCAGTTGCTTGGGTGATTTTTTTTACAGAATCTATGGCCTCTATAAAATTTTTGGTGATGACTAGTTGGCTTTCCATAAGAAGCCTTGCCCTGTCAGGTGCCAGTGCAAGAGGTGTCGGGCTACTAACCCAATCGTAAGCTAAAGGTTATGTCTGTTTATCCTTTCTAGCGTCATTGGTTAATGGATGCCAAATTGGTTATGAACTAGTTGCCCTCTTTTTTTTTTAACACAACTAGTTGCCCTTACATGAGTCTGAAGTAGTGTTTGTCAACTCCATATATCTTGAGATTAGTTTAAAATTGTATATTTTCACATTTTACTTCCTTGCATTGAAATTTCAAAACTGTTGTAGGACAGTGAGGAATACAGGCTTGAAAGAGTTCTGAAGGATGCTTCTATGCCACACAGAACAGTTATCCTAACAACTTTAAATGAAGCCTGGGCTGGTCCAAGTTCGATCATTGATCTTTTCCTTGAGAGCTTTAGAATTGGAGATCATACCCGCAGACTTTTGAATCATTTAGTGATTGTTTCTTTAGATCGAAAGGCCTTTTCTCGTTGTCTGCTTGTACACACTCATTGTTTTGCCCTTGTCACTGAAGGTGTCGATTTCTCTCGGGAGGCTTATTTTATGACCCCTGATTACTTGAAGATGATGTGGAGAAGGATTGATTTCCTACGGTCCGTTCTTGAGATGGGATATAACTTTATTTTCACGGTACTCTCTCTCTCTCTCTCTCTCTCTCTCTCTCTCTCTCTGTCTTACACACACACACACACACACATCACACACATACAAAAGCAAACATGCAAACGGCAACAAACATTTATGTGGGCCTGAAAAGGTCAGTTTCAGGATGTTATTTTGTACTTCATCTTGTAGTCACATTTTTTATATTGGTAATCATCTGAATTCGGTTAAATGTTTTTGCAAGCAATTCTAATGTTGGCGAGCATTAATATCCCTGCCCGTTGTAATCAGATTGATTAACACTAAATAATTATGCATATTAAATGCTTCAATTAGGAGCATCCCGAGAAGTCAATCTTCTGATCTCTGACAATGATCTTCTTTTGATATTCTCTGTCTGTAGTGCATACACCTGTGATACTACATTCCATCTTGTCTTTTGTTCTTATGAACCTCATTTTACTGTCTAAGACATGTAGGTTGATTGTGATAAATGTGTGTGTGAGGTTTCTGAAGAACAGATTGATCATCCAATAAGTGTTGCATATGATATCTTTGCATATCCGATGAAAGACTTAGTTCTCAGGATCTAGAATTTAAGGGTCTTCAATCTAGCTTACTAGGGAAATTTCTGGAGAGTTATGTGAAAGAAGAAGGCAATTTGTTGTGAAGGATGATTGGTGCTAAGCATGAGAGTCAACTGCATATTGGATGTCTATCACTCTATGCTGGTGAAATCCCCTTATGATGTGCGTTTGTGGAGGACTATTGGGTGGGGATCGGGGTTATTTCTTAAAATTTACGTCTGTGATGGTGGGAAATGGAGAGCAGATTAGGTTTTGGTATGTCCTTGGTGTGAGTGGCAGCCCCTTGTACTTTGATTCTTGGACTTCTTCTCGAAGTCAGAGGAAAAGGAGCCATTGGCTGCTGATTGTTTCATCACAACAGGGGGTCCCTAGATTTTGTACCTCATAGTGGTGGGTTATCTCTGTGAAAGTGAATTTATAACACCCTTAGAGGAGGCACTCTTGCTGGGTCTTTTATGGAGGCTCATTTGGAACATGTGCTCCTATGCAAGGAGCCTTTAAAAGTAATTGTAACTGTGAACTTAGGATAAAGGAAAAATGCTACCTTCAACCAGTGTTGCATTTGTAAGGGATCTGAAGAACCGGTCATGTTTCATATCATCACACATATCCTGGTTTCTCTTTTGGGTGTCGCTTAGGTGATACCGAAGTCATGAGGAGCTTTTCTTACACTTTCAAGAAGTTTTTATCATCATCTGTTGATCTATTATCACTAATTTTCCTCTTTTGATAATTGGCATTGCTTTCAAAAATGGGCAATTTTGGGATGTGCTTCCTTTGATGGAAGCTGCTCCAAACAGGGCCTAAGTATCAATGAAATGACAAGTGAAGGGCATGTGACTGTTTGAGTCCAATAAGAAAAGAAGTGAAATTTTTTTCTCCTGTAATACCTTCCTCCTTTTGGGGAAATATGTGCATTGATGGTTGTTAGATACATTCAACCCAGATTCAAGTGAAAATGAGTGGGGAGACCTGACATTTATATAAACCAACATTGAGTGATCTAATACTTGGATATGGGATACAAGCTCTCTTCACGTCCTCCCTCACTTGCAACATGGACTCGTATGTGGGCGAATAAACTGAACTAAAAAAGACAGACAAAGAAATCAGGGTAAAAAACTTTGTCCCACTTAGCATTCATGCTCCAGCTCTGATAGCATGTTAAAATGTCCAACCCAAAACAAATGGTGATGTTGTAAAGGCTGTCAGTCATACTAATCAACCTTTGGAGGTCTTAATGTTTCGATGTGAGATACAAACTCTCTTTACTGTGATGTTCGCTGTTCTGTGTTCCACCAACAATGCTACTCAATTAATGGGTCAGGTTATAATTTCTTGGCGTGATGGACATGTCAACAAGCATCATCTTTCAACAAACTTAAGTATCTGCATGCTACTTAGTGTTTACAAGTATGCATCTTAAATAAATCCTGCCAGTCTACTGGAAATATAATCCTTTACTTTCTGATTTTTGCTGTTTTTTTTCTGTTCCAGGATGCTGATATCATGTGGTTCAGAGACCCATTCCCACACTTCAATTTGGATGAAGATTTTCAGATCGCATGTGACCATTTCTCTGGTAATCCTCATGATTTGGAGAATAAACCCAATGGAGGCTTTATGTCTGTAAGGTCCAATAACCGGTCAATAGAGTTTTACAAGTTCTGGTACTCCTCACGAGAAACATATCCAGGATTACATGATCAGGACGTACTTAATAATATCAAATATGATTCTTTCCTCATAGACATTGGACTGAAGATGAGATTCTTGAATACTGCTTACTTTGGTGGGTTTTGTGAACCTAGCAAAGATTTGAATTTGGTTTGTACGATGCATGCAAACTGTTGCTATGGGCTGGACAGCAAGCTTCATGATCTTAAAATCTTGCTTCAGGATTGGAAAAGATTTATGTCTTTGCCACCCAGCTTGAAGAGATCATCAGTGCAATCTTGGAGGGTTCCTCAGAACTGCAGGTAAGATGGTGATCTGTAGCATACAAGTCTAGATTTCAGAACTACTACATTTTTTTATGCATTATTTATCACTGTTTTCAAATGTGTATTCCTTACAACAGTTCTTTTCTCATGGTTTCTCCAGTCTCGAGTCTCTCCGCAATTATGGTCCTCCAGGGAAGGATGTTGAGCAACATTAAGAAGATAGAGTTGATTAGTGTATATAATGGTAGGTGCTTGTGCCTTGTAAACAAAAATGTGAATATTCTGATAGCACATTGATGCTGCATTGTGGGCAACATATTTATTATAATATTTTACGTGCAGAATTTTTATATTATTTTCTAACATCTGGCCAGTGCAAATAGCATACAGGAAGAACTGGAACGATCATTATGCTGTTACTCATTGATATTTTTAAAGCAAGACACTTTTTCAGTGCCATGAAGGACTTACTGTGAGCTGAAATCACATAAGAACTTGTGGAATGATTAGTACCCGGTTTGGTCCCGGTTAATTGGGGGGCGGTATGCTGTAGGTGCTGTTTTGGTACAGTGGAAGGATAAGCGCATGTGATATACTATGCAAGTAAGATTTTGAATGATGCAACAAATAAATTACTCCATGACAGAAAAAGAATTATTTACATTAGTATATACTTTGGACAAGTTCAAGTTATATTTAGTTGGGTCTTCCATTGTTGTTTATACTGACCATGCAGCCTTAAAGTATTTGTTGATTAAGAAAGATGCCAAACTGCTCCTTCTTTGATGGATTCTCTTGCTCTAGAAATTTTATCTCTTTATCAAAGACAAGAAAGAAGTAGAGAATGTGGTGACAAACCATCTTTCCAGGTTGAACTATGACACAAAAGAGGAATCCTTGCCAATCAAAGAGACATTCCCTAATGAGCAACTTATTGCCATCTTTGAGGTATCCTTGTAGGTATTACTATCTATAAACCATCTAACTAATGAGAGCAACTAAAAATAACCATTAAAAAATAAACTATTCATCTACTTGACAAAGAATAAATACTAAAATCAATAAAATATCATAATTTTTTTAACTTACAAATTCAAAATCAAATAATATCTAGCAGTGGAATGATAAAACTAACTGAAACATTGTTTCACAAAAATCTATCCAAATAAAATAATTAAAACTAAAATAAAGTATCTCTAAGCCTCTACTTCGGGATTCTCATACTGATCCTCTCTAGCTTCGAGATCAACCTGTTCATTTAACTCGACATCTTCATCGTTACCAAAATCTGTAATGTGTTGTAGTAGGTGAGCAAAAGCCTGTAAGAAATTCCTCTCAAATCCCAACAAGATTTTTAAAACAATAAAAAGAAGGTAAGTCTCTTTTAGAAAAATATCATATATAAATTTTTGAGAGTAAAATAATGACAGTTGTAATAATTTCAAGTGTATGGAATACAATAAATCAATGACAGGAATAATCATGCAAGAAATTAAAGCAATCAATAAATAACTTAGTAGCATCATCTCATATTCTCATGTATGTTGGTTATTTCTCAGGAATCTATACATCGATTCTACCTTGTTCACCCATCACAACCACACAATTTCAATCATTTCCCGCAGGGCACATCACAAAACACTTTAGGAAAGACGTATACTGTCTCCCACGGCATTGAAGAATGTTTCCCAAGAAAGGTATATCATCCCTTAGCCTCGAACTTATGTGAACAAAAGTGGTTGCTCTCACAAACAACAGTCCACTACAAGTGCTAGGCAACCATCTCACCCCCACTGGGATAGACTAACCTCTAACAGTCTATGACAGCTCTCGAAGGTAATTCAAGTCCATTACAACAAACCATACAAGAGATAAAACCACAACTTTCTCAATAACCACAAACTTAACCAATCACAATTTTTATTAACAATTCAAGTATCACAATTGTATAATTCTCAATATACTACAATAATAAAGGAATTAAAATATGCAAGAGATCATATTAAGCAAATCTTCACAATTTCAATATCAAAATTATAAGGTTTTGCCAAAAATCACAATTTCTTGAAACAAGAACAAGTATTAGATGAAAACATGATTTAATCAAGAATAGGAATGTAGAAATCAAGAATCCACATGAATTTCACAATAGAACATGTATTTTGGAAAAACTAAGGTTTTGGAAATTCAAGAACAAGTATTCCTTGAACCCAAACATGTATTTTGTTCAAGACCATATTCTAATGATTAAAAAAACCAAAAACTCATACATATTTATCATATAATTATCAAGAAGATTGAAAATATACATATATCATACCCTAAGTCTCAATGAAAGAACTCAAGAAGAATCACATACCTTTAATTCCGTAGTTTGTGTGTAAACCTAGCATGCTTGATACGTTCCAACGTGAGAATCTCCCTTCAATCTTGTATTTCTCTTTTCTATCTTACTCTCCAAGGTTATCTAGGGTTAGAACTGATGAAATAGGGTTAAGGGAGACATACTTAGGTATTTATAGGACGAGAAAATAGTGTAGTCGGTAAAAACCTGATACCCAAAATCAAGACAGAATGTTCGAATGGATCCATTCACGTTCAAACAGACTCTAGTTTTTACTTGAACTTTCAAAGAAGTTTTGGCCTAGTTAGAAGTCAATGTAAAATTTTTTTGTGAAATACACTTTGTAGCCCTTGAAGTGTAGTTTCTACTGTCCAAAAAGAAGCTCAATCAAAGTTTAGATAAAAAAGTTATGACTAAAATACTAAGATAATGTCAAATTCCTTCCTACCCAAATTATCTCAAAAATAGGTTTTAACTCCGGAATACTTCTAAACTTATAATACATCCCATATAACGTTTTCCAAGGTTTTTCAACCTATTGGATTCAAAGGAAACCTTATTTTTACCTAAAAATATTTACAGAATTACTTAACCACTCTTCTCAAGTTTAAACACCTTCAGAACTAAGTTTGACCCAAAAATCAATACTCTTAAAACTCAAACTTTATAATCAATCTTCCAATAATGATTCTAAATTTTTACCATTATTTTATTTATCTTAGGAGAACTCTTAATATAATATTATTTTTATTTAATTTTAATACGGGATCTTACAAGTATGCAGACATTGCCAACTTTTTGGCCAAAGGTACCACTCTGTGTCACTTTACCTCGATTGATAAACACAAATTTTTGAGAGAGGTGTGTAATTTATTTTGGGGTAATCCCTACCTGTTTAAATACTGTAAGGACTAAATCATTAGACGTTGTGTTCCCAATAATGAGATCATTTAGGTCATACCCCTTTGTCATTCTGAAGTTTGTGATGGACGTTTTTCTTCAAAGAAAACCATTACTAAAATCATGCAATATAGATTTTATTGGCACACATTTTTTAAAGATATGCATACTTTTTGTTTAACTTGTGATAAATGCCAAAAGTTGGAGAGTATTTCTAAACGAAACATGATACCTTTGAACCCTATACTTGTAATTGAGATTTTTGATTATTGGGGCATTGAATTTATAGACCATTCCCCCTTCCTTTGGCTATCAATACATCTTGGTTGCAATTTATTATGTGTCCAAATGGGTTGAAAAAATTTTATGCCAGAATAATGATCACCACACGATGATTAATTTTTTAAAAGAAAATATTTTGTCATGATTTAGAATTCCTTGATCCATCATAAGTGATGGGGGTGCTCATTTTTGCAACCATATTTTTTAAAACCTAATTAAAAAACATTTGATTTCTCATGGGGTTGCAATCTCTTATCATCCACAGACTAGTGGAAAGGCCGAACTGGCCAATCAAGAGACTAAAATGATTTTGAAAAAAATAGTAATCTTGGACCGCAAAGATTGGTCTTTACGACTAACTGATGCACTTTGGGTTGACATATCTCCTTACCAGCTAGTTTATGGGAAGCCTTGTCACTTGCTTGTAGAATTGGAACACCGAGCTTACTGGGCCATCAAAACCATGAATTTTGATCTGGATAAGGCTGGTACATTTCGAAAACTTCAGATAAGTGAGTTAGGAGAACTCAGAAATGAGGCATATGAGAATACCAAAATTGCAAAGGCACGGATGAAAGTTTTTCATGATAACAAGATATTGCGGAAGTTCTTTGTCCCTTCCAAAAAGTTTTCCTGTATAATTCATGGCTCCAACTATTTCTTGGTAAGTTGAAGTCTAGGTGGACGGGACCTTATATTTTGAAACAAGTGTTCGAACACGGAGCTGTTGAAATCGAGAATCCTTCAAATGATAATGTTTTTAAAGTAAATGGTCCACGTCTTAAACTATTTTATGAATGGTTTGTTGAGCATGTGGAATCAATTGATCTAATAGATCCACAATATCTTGGATGAATTCGTCAAGTTGTAAATATTGTATATAGTTTTTACTATGAACTAATACCGTTTATTTTGTTTGTAGGTTTTCGCTCACATGTGTAGAGTTCCCTACCCTTCAACCTTGAACCTATCTTGAACTTATTGATATTGTCTTTTTACATTGAGGACCATGTAACATTTAGGTTTTTTTTTTTTTTTTTTTTTTTGGGGGGGGGGGGAGTACATTGTACTTTGTGTGTTTGATTTAATTTTTGTGTGTTTGTTTTAATTTTTGTGTGGTACTTTATGTGTGTTAAATTTTTTTTTTATAAAAATATATATATATAAAATAAAAAATCAATAAATAAATTAGCTAGTATGGATCAAAGATATTAATTTTGTTTTATCACATTCGTTCAGACCTTGTGGTCTAATCAAGGTGGTTAACTACATCTCGAGGGAATAAAGATCACAAGTTCGAAAACCTACCTAGCATGGGTAAAAAATATTGTCAAAATTTATTTTAAAAAGAGAAAAAGAATTAAAAAAAATAAAAAATTTGAAAAAATAAAGCACCGTTTGGATGCCTATCACCATTCGAACGCTCTTCCAAAAGTTGGATTGTGAAAAATTCCAAAGAGTTGACAGCATTCGGATACCCCTCTACCGTCCGGACGGTCTGTTGCGACTTTAAATACTACCAGGCAATTGTTTATTATCATTTTGGCCCCAAAACTCTGAAAATCTACAACCCTAGGTTTCGAAAACACATGTCCAAGCCTAGAACTTCATCACCCATTACTTTTTCCTTGAATCTAAGCCACCCAAGACTAGATTTAAGCATCCTTCACATTTCTAACAGATTAAATTTCTCAATTTCAGTCCATAATCTCCACACCCATGGGACCGAGGAAGAAAACTGTGGCCAAGAAACCTGAAACAAGCACAAGGAAACTTGCAAGGAGGCAAGTGACTTGATCCAACCTGTCTA